GAGGACCAAAGGACCCGAAATTCGGAGCTTCTAAGCTCCTAGCCCTCAAACCTACACTTACTAACCCAAAAGTTTTTGGCGCTTAACCTCCCACAAAAAAGGGCCCTGAGCCCTCAAGTTAGCGGCCCTAAGCCACAAATCCTAAACCCCAAACCCTACACCCTAAACCCTAAACCCTAAACCCTAAGCCCTCCAAGAGCGGCCCAAGTGCGGCCCAGCAGGGCCAGTGAGGAGGCGGCGCGCGCTGCCACCAAGCCTCTTGAAAAACTCATCTTAGGGAGGTTTTGGGGGGTTTTGGAGGTTGTCTAAGGGTTTAAGGGTTTATAGGGTTTGCAGGGTTTTTAGGGTTTTTAGGGTTTTTAGGGTTTTTAGGGTTTTTAGGGTTTTTAGGGTTTAAGGGTTTTTAGGGTTTAGGGTCAGGGTGCCTTTTTGGGAGCTCATCTTAGGGAGGTTTTGGGGGGTTTTGGACTTTGGCGATTAAGGGTTTTAGGGTTCAAGGGTTTGCAGGGTTTGTAGGGTTTTGTAGGGTTTTGGAGGTTGTTTAAGGGTTCAAGGGTTATAGGGTTTATAGGGTTCAGGGTGCCTGTTTGGGAGCTCATCTTAGGGAGGTTTGGGGGGTTTTGGAGATTAAAGGTTTTAGGGTTTTGGGGTTTTAGGGGTTTAGGGTTTTAGGATTTTAGGGTTTTAGGGTTTTAGGGTTTTAGGGTTTTAGGGTTTGTAGGGTTTGTAGGGTTTGTAGGGTTTGTAGGGTTTGTAGGGTTTTGTAGGTTTTGTAGGGTTTAGGGTTAGGGTGCCTTTTGGGAGCTCATCCTAGGAAGGTTTTGCGGGTTTTGGGGATTTCGGGTGTTAGGGTTTTGGGTTTTTCGGCTCAGAGTTTTAGGGGTTTAGGGTTTTAAGGTTTTAGGGTTTTGGGTTTAGGGCTCGGGGTTGTTGGGTTTTAGGGTTTGGGTTTTAGGGTTTGGGTTTAGGGTATGTGCAAAACAGAACTTGGAATTGTTGGAGGGCTTGGAGAGCTCAACGCTGGACCATAAGAATCCACCCCCGTGTGTTCACAAGCCCTGAGCACTGTCCAAGGCCCCTGAGGGCTCGTAGCAGGGTTTGACCGCACATGCTCAAGGCTTTAGAGCGTCTTTGAAGGGGTGGAGGGCTCATGGCTCGAGAGAGAGAGAGAGAGAGAGAGAGAGAGAGAGAGAGCGTGAGGCCCCCGCGGAGGTTGCCGGAGACGTTCCCGCCTCAGATCGAGAGAGGGAGAGGACAAAACAAGAGAGATAAGAGAGAAAGAATGAGAGAGAGTGAGAAAGCGAGAGAGTAACAGTGTGAGAGCGAGGAAGACAAAGAAAACAAGAAAGCGAGAGAGTAACAGTGTGGGCTTCCAGGAAGCCGAGCCTGGCAACGCAGAGCAGGACGAGGAGGCCGCTGCATGCGAAATAAGAGAGAGAGAGAGAGAGAGAGAGAGAGAGAGAGAGAGAGAGAGAGATCAAGAAGCTGTGTCTGGACAGCGCCTGAAGGAGTCGTCAAGGCCTGCGAAGCGGATCAAGGCTGTCGAAGGGAGAAAACTAAAGCGAGAGAGAGAGGGAGAAAGAGAGAGAGAGAGAGAGAGAGAGAGAGAGAGAGAGAGAGAGGAGACGAGAGAGAGAGAGAGGGAGAGAGAGAGACCACAGGCAGAGAGGGAGAGAGAGAGAGAGAGAGCAGAGAATGTGATACGGGCGTGGGAAAGGTTGGCACCGCGGAAACGCCCAGCAGCGCCGCAAGAACAAGAGGAAATATGGATGCGTGCTGTGCGTCTGCGTGTGTGTGTGCTTTCGCGAGAGAGAGAGAGAGGGAGGGAGAGAGAGAGAGAGAGAGAGAGAGAGAGAGAGAGAGAGAGAGAGCGGGAGATTAAGAAAGAGAGAGAGAGAGAGAGAGAAGAGAGAGAGAGAGAGAGAGAGAACCCGCCAGCGGTGCGACGCGTCCCGGGCTCAGGGGAAGAGAAAGAGAGAGGGAGACAGACAGACAGTGTGTCAGTGTGTGTGTGTGTGAGTGAGGGCCAGAGAGAGTGTGCTTCCAGGCCCGTCGACGCCGCACCACGGAGTAGGAGCCCAAGGAAAGGGAAGCAGTCGGGGAGCGGGGGGGGGGAGGGCGGGCGAGGGGCGGGCGGGTGTGTGTGTGCGTGTGTGCTAAGGGAAGGCTTCCGTGACTTCTTGCCGTTTTACAACTGATCCGAGCTCAGTACATGTTTGAAAACGGGGGGAGGAACCTAAGTGTTCCTCCCCCCTTAGGGGGGTTGAGGGTACTAGAGTTACTTATAAATTTATATAGAGCCTAGTGTATGTTATTAGTTAGTAACTAAGGGTGCGTAGTGTTTATGTTGTTTCTAGCATACGTCGTACTTAGGACTTGTTCATGTATTAGTTCTGTTGTTTGTTGAGCACCCTTAACCCCTCTCACGCGTAGAGGCCGGGACAAGCGGTTACGACCAGGAGTTAAGAATGTAAGGTTTAGAATGTTGTGGGGTTTTAGAGTTCATGTTGTTTTAATACGTTGTGGTTTAGACTCCTGGTCGTAACCACTGGCGGGGCGGCCCTTTTGCGAATGAGCATCGTCGGCTCAGTATGAAAAAAAGGGTGGATCTAGTGAGTTGTATTTTCGAATAATATGAGGTTTAAGTAATTTGTACATGGTTTGCGCATATAATTTGATAAGGATGCATGATGGAAGGCTGTATAACTTGACAAGGATGCATGATGAAGATATATTGTCTGCTCTGATCTGATAATTTTGACAAAAAATATAACAACGATGCATGATGTAGACATTTTTTTGCTCTGCTCATTTTGATAATTTTGACAAAGATGCATGAATAAGTACAGTGAGTGTAGTATTTTGGTGCTTTACGTGAAGTGTGCTATTTGAACAATATGAGGTTTAAGTAAATTGAATATTGTCTGCTCAAATAATGTTTTTGTCGTCTGCCTGAGGTAAAGAAAGAAACAAGAAATAATATATATGTATATATATATATATATAGATGCAAGGGAAGGAGCTCACCAGAAGCACAATTGCAATTACTACAAGCCTGATGTTCTTGCGAAGGGAAAACAGTGGATGTGATCTGGCATTAAACATTTATAAGTTTGGGGTTTGAGTCAATTTTCTTAAATTCGTCTGAGGGGGACATATGAGTCCACTTTGCAAGGATTTTATGTTAAATTTTTGAATATCCATGAGATTATATGATTCGCAAATGATATTGGCAAATTCGTCACAATATTATGGGTCCAATTTATATGGAATAGTATAAATACATGAAAATCATATGATGGATTAATAGATTTAGTATATATAGTATATAGATAGTATATATAGTATATATATATATATAGCATAGTATGTATATATAGTATATATAGTATATATAGTATATATAGTATATATAGTATATATAGTATATATAGTATATATAGTATATATACTATATATAGTATCTATAGTATATATAGTATATATATAGTATGCGCGGACCTGCTAACTTTTACACAAGGCTCAGTGAGTGCTTCTGCCTCTGGAATCTGTAATTCGGGATTCGAGGTGCCCAGAACTCAACTTGTCAAAGAGCTTCCCAATTAAGCTAGAAGCGGCATTTCTTGCTGCCCCGCGCAGACACCCCCCTCCCCCCACCCCCCACCCACCCCCTCGCCCAGCAGTTTGCCTCCAACACTTAAGCCCCCCGACCGCCTCCCCCCCAAGCCGACTCCAACAATTACTCGCCCTCGCCCTCACTCGCACCCTCGCCCTCACTCCCACTCTCACACTCACTCTCACGCTCACGCTCACTCTCACTCTCACTCAGATACATACGACCGACTCGCACGTTAGAGCGGGGTGAGATTGAACCTGAGCGTTACCAGCCTCCACTGCTTGGTACAGCTGGCAAGGCACGCGGGTGTGTCTTTTAGCATTGCAAGGCTAACTCGCACTGTGATCCAGAACGTCGGGCGCAAGCCACATGATGCCATGATGACTGAACCTGTATTCCACATTAATGCAGAATTTCGTGTGATTTGGTATGTCGTATGACGACGGTGGCGGCCGCAAGGTTTCACTCAGACATGAACACAAGGAATTGCGCAGCTCGATTTTTTTTCCAACGTATAAAAGAAACCAGAGTTGTGTCAAATAATTCTTAAGTGCTTACCACATGCGGGGGGTGGGGGGGGGGGGAAGGGGGCGTGGGGGAAGGGAAATACTGAATTCGCGCCGGTTGCGTTTCCGGCTCGTAGCTTGCTGGCAAGTGCTTCTCTGTCCTGTCCGACTCTGTCCGTGTGCTTTCCGTGTGACTTGGCTTTGAATTGCGTTTATGTGCGTGGCGGGTGATTGATCTCTCGTATTTGATTTTAGTGTTCTTATAAACGACCAGGAACAACATGGCCGACGAGGCACGCAAGCATTGTTCTGGCTTTTGTTGTCTTTTTTTCTGATTTGTCGTTTCTGCACGGGGTGTGTGTGTGTGTGTGCGTTGGTGATTGTTGGCGAGGACACGAAGCCTGGTTACCTCAAGTGCGAAACTGCTGACGGGAACCAGGCGTGGGGCGATTTGTTTTGGGGGTGATGTTGATACGTGTGTGTGGTGGTTGTGTTGTGGAAGGCTCGCTGTAAGAAGTGGGTCTTGCAAAAGACCCACCGGAAGCATTGCGGATCCTGCGTGGGGGCCTGAATGCTCGTTGAAGGGGGATCCTCTGGAAGGCGTTCTTTGCGAGGTACTTTCAGTATTCGGATCAATTAGTTTGGTCCGAATTCAGAAAATGCCGTCGCGAAGAACGCTTTCCGGGGCGGGGGATGCTCTCTTCAAGTTTGGGTTTGAGGCGCAAGTTGTGGCGAAACATGCGCAAACGAGCACGGTTGGCGCCCTTGGGGAAGGGAGAGTTGGACGGGAGGGGAGTGGGGAGGGGAGAGAGAGGAGTTTTTTTTCCGTTCAAACAATTCTAGGAAGGACGCGGAGGCGGCCGCTGGGCATCCCGCGTATGGCTCTCAATATGGTTCTGTTTTATGGAGTAACGGTTGGGGAGGGGTGGACGGGTGATGGGATGAAGAATCATTGTCTTTTAGGTCCGACGCCGTCCACGGCGCGTGCGGGCCTTACATTTTGCTGTTCTTAACACTGTTTTGTTTCGTGGGGGAGCAGGGGGGGCGGGGGGAAGCGTTCATGTTGAACAGGCGGGACGCAGCTGAGGTGCCGGTTCCACTTTTTTTGTTGTTCTCTAGTCTAAACGCGTAGTGTCATTTTCTTTCCCGGTTTTGCAGAGGGTGTGTGCTCGGAGGCGGACGCGGCGGCGCCTTTGGCAGAGGGTGACAGGCCGGTGGTGGGGTGGGAGGGGGGGGGGGGGTGGTGGAGTGAAGAATCATTGTCTTTCAGGCCCGACGTCGGCCACGGCGCGTGCGGGCCTTGCATTTTGCTGTTCTTAACACTGTTCTGTTTCGTAGGGGGGGGGGGCTCGAAATTGTTCATGTTGAACAGGTCGGCTGCATCGGACGTGCCCATGGAGAAGGTCGTGTTTTTTGGGCTTTTCTTATTTTCTAGTCTAATCGTAGTGTCGTGTTCTTTCCCGGAAGCCCCGCGACGTGTGTGTGTGTGTGTGTGTGCTTTTTGTTTCTTGTTTTGCAGAGGAGCCGCTGAAGTGGGCGGAGCTCAACTGGGCCTTGGTGTGTTTTCCTCGGTTTTTTTCTGGGAGGGAATTTGGAACGTGTTTTTGATTTCGGGTCGGCTCAGGGACGCCTACGGCAGTGCATCAGTAAGCCAGCAACCATCCCCTCAACCCAAAAGCCTCAACCCTCAACCCTCATAAACCCTAAACCCTAAACCCTAAACCCTAAACCCTTGTGTCGGGAGACCCTCGGTTATCCCCGAGCCCACTACTTTGGTCTGGCAAGGCAGCTCGTCCTCTTCTCGCGCGCGGGGGAGTGGGAGGAGGTCCCATTTTTGGGAGATCCAAAGCACATCCTAAACCCCCAGGACCTACTGGCTCTTCGTAGGGAATGGGGGAAGGAGGTACCCTATAGAATCCCTTCAAGGGTATACAGAGGGGGATATCGGATACCTCGTTCCCTTCATTCCCTACTAAGAACCAGCCAGAAGAAGCAACCCCTAAACCTCAAAGGCCCGAGGGTTTGGGCTTTTGGGTTAGGGTTTAGGGTTCAGGGTTGAGGGTTTAGGGTTTAGGGTTTTGGGTTTATAGGGTTTAGGGTTTAGGGTTTAGGCCCTGAGGCCCTCAACTCAAAACCGGGGAGTTGGGCTCACATCTCTAGAAAGCAAGGGAGCCTTGGTCAGTTTGTTCTTGTATCTCCATGGCTTCAACGTCGAAGTACTCAATCGAAGCATTCGAGCCTCGGACAAAGGCATGCTGGGTTCCCGAAATTAGGGTCATTTTGAGGGCACCTACTTTTATGCATGGCCTTATTGTCTCAATATTTGTACATAAGTATATACATATATATATATATATATTGCGTTTTGGGCCCCCCAAATGCGGACGGCAATGAAATCGACAATAGGCGATGTTGCTGTTGGTGCAAACCTGCATGACCGTCCCGGAGCTAAAACCCACGACACCAATCCGCATCAAGCACCGGCAGATTCCCCAGTTCCTCAGGCCCTTCATTTTTTCGAGACTTTGCCGCTGTCGGCCAAGAACGAGGTGCACCGGAACGCGGCGCCACGCTCAGACATACGAAGATGAATCGACAGAAAGGGCAGCTCTGGCTTTCCACCTGTGTCACGTGTCCCTAAACCCTAAACCCTAAACCCTAAACTTGCCATGTTTCAGGGCCACATGAGTCGCTAGCGGGCTGCGTATTTCAGAGGCGATCTCTGCGTGCAGCAAAGCTTCCGCATGGCCGGCGGCGAGGGGCCCAGATCTGCAAAGACACGTGCTTGGGCCTACATTTCGGGGTCAGTGCCTCGAAGAAGCCCCTTTGGGGCACAAGAAGTCGAGCTTCATGTGCCTGGTGCCTCATGCCCCTAGGCCCGGAATCCCCGGCCCTGGGCCTTAAATGCTAAAACCCTCCAGGCGCTGGCGCTGCATGCGGACGACCGGTCGAAGTATAGCCCGGACCGTGACGTTTGCCCTGGGGACCCTTCTAGCGGCAGGGAGTTTGCAGGGTTTTGTGGTGGGGGGCCCTGGAGTTTGCTTTAACTTTGGGGTTTTAGGGTTTTGGGACTTAGGGTTGGACATAAATATATTCAAATACATGTGTATATATACATATGGTCACCCCCCCCATGATCCACATATGTCCTTTTCTTGCTTGCCCGTTCTGCACCTGTGCTTACTTACACCTGTGGCGTTTATTGATATATATATATATATATACAGAGAGATATAGATATTGAAACACGTCGGCTGCTGCTTTTGTAGGCTACACAGATCAGGACCTGGACGTTGGCGGTGATGGGGATGTCTTGGTTAAGAGGAGATCTCGCTTCAGCATGCGCCGTCTGGGAAAGCCACTTTAGGATTTGGAGTTGAGGGTTTTTGGGGTCAAAGGACTCTTAAGCCCCTAAACCTAAGCGCCAAAAACATCAAGCCTCAGCACCCGCTCTCTCAACCCCCCCCCCCCACCCTAAAAAATGAAGCTCCCCCTCTAACTACACATGCAAAGCCAAAAAAGCCAACACCCCAAAAGCCCCAAGCCCGTAGACCCGAAAGCCTAAGATCCCTAAACCCATAAACCCTAAACCCTAAACCCTAAACCCTAAACCCTAAACCCTAGGATCCCGTGGCCGCGGCCGCCACCCTGGGCGCGAGAGGGCTCGGGGCTCGGGGACAGAACCCCAATGGATTTCTGGTTCTGCGCAGGGAACTAGGCATCCGGTGCCTTGTATCCCTTATTTCCTAGAACGGCTTTGGGGTTTCGGGCTTAGGGTTTCGGGTTCAGGGAGGAGCGATTTTGCAGGCAGAGGGTCTTGAGGCTCTTAAGTTAAGGATTTGGAGTGGGGGTAGGGTCTGAGGTCTCAGGGTTGTGGGCTCAGAGGTTGGGGTCAGAGCCCCCGCCAATCCCTTGACAACCTAGTTGGACTCCGAAACTCGCTGAAAAACGAGAGAAATCCGTAGGTTGCCTTGGCCCTGGGCGCTGTGGCAGCTTGGTGTGAGAAGCTGGTGAAAGGGGTGCTTGGAGCTTCATGGTACCAGGGATGGGGCGATACTTGTGTCGTAGTTTAAGGCTTCGGAAGGTAGGAACCTCCCATGCTCTATGCAGCCAGAAAGAACATAATTGCAAAAACAGAGTTCCGAGGCTTCTGGAGGATCTCCAGGCCGGGCGCGTGCCACCAGACGCATCCGGGCTTGCAAGATCGGTTCAGGCCTTTGGAAAACTACGAATTTGGGGCTCAGGGGCTTAAACCCTAAAACCCTAGACCCTTTGGGGCCGTGTCATCTAGGGCAAGCTGAGGGTTCAGGGCTTGGGGCTGGGAGTTCAGGGTTTTGGGGTTGAGGGGGTTAGGGTTTAGGGTTTAGGGTTTAGGGTTTACGGTGCTCTCGAGGACTTCGTGGGCAGTGCGGCTGTCAGCTGCTGCAGCCGCAATGTGCAGTGGCAGGCACCCGCGGAAACCCCCTTCCCACGCCTACTAGGTTCATGGGGATTTAGGGGTTGTAGGGTTTTAGGTTTATGGTTGGGACTGCGTAAGCAGCGATAAACAGGATCCGGTTTCGCGTGGGACATTCTGGGCCGTTTTGGGTTTCTCTGAGAGCGGATTCCTTACCAAAAAAGTAGGGAAAAAACTTTAAGTGATTATAGCTGCCTTTGGGTGCCATGCAACCTCACTGCTAGCTATCCAGGAGAGCCCTAGAAAGCCTGAACCCAAACCTTAAACCCCTAACACCCTCAAACCCTAAACTGCCCCTAATCAACCCCCAAAAAAAACCCATCAACCCTAAGCCATTAAAAAAAAACCCAACCACCCTCCCTAAGTCCTAAACCCTTAACCCTTAACCCCTAACCCTCAACACAGATGTCTCTGGCCCTTCTCTTCAACCTGCGGATGCAACACTCTCCGGTGGCCGTGGGCGCCGCCATCGCAGGAGAAGCCTTGACCACCGGAACCCTGCAGATGGTTTAGGGTTTAGGGTTTAGGGTTTAGGGTTTAGGGTTTAGGGTTTAGGGTTTAGGGTTTAGGGCTCAGAGTTCAGGGCGCAGGGTTTGGTATAGGGTTCAGGGTTCAGGGTTTGGTATAGGGTGTAGGGTTTAGGGTTTAGTTCAGGGTTTTGGTAATTGTTCTTTGTTGGGAGCCTAACGAGAGCCTCTTTTTTTTTTGGGGGGGGGGGGAAGGGGGAAAGTCAAGATTAGTTGTCCTGTCGCAGCGGCAACCAATTCCAAACTCTACACTCTACGTCCTGGACTGCAAGTTGTACACCCAAACCCTAAACCCTACACCTGAAACCCTAAACCCTAAGCTGAACCCCGCAAGCTCAAAGACCCAACACACATGACCTCGCGCCCGACACAACTTGCCGGTTCTAAGCCTAGACTTCATAAACCCCAAACCCGAAATCCCTAAACCCTAAACCCTAAACCCTAAACCCGAGACCCTAAACCCTGAACCCTAAACCTAAACCCTGAACCCCAAGAACCCGGAATTCCCTACTTACCTCCTTTCCGAAGCAAGGGTTAGAGGGGTTAAGGGTTAAGGGTTTTAGGTTATATTGAAGGCATTTGAAGCTTGAACGGAACTTTGGGTTTTACGAGTAGGAGGGAAGCAAAGATTTTTGGGTTTCGGCACCATACATGTTGCCCCTAAACCCTAATGCACCAGGTTTTGTTAAACCTGAAACCCGAAACCTTAGGCACCATACATGTCGCCCCTAAACCCTAATGTACCAGGTTTTGTTAAACCTGAAACCCGAAACCCTAAACTTAAACCCCAAACCCAAATCCGGTCCAGGAGTTGCGCGAGCCGCTTCCTGGGAGGCGGCGCTGGCGCTGTGGGCCCTGGAGACTCCTGCGACTCGACAAGAAAAAGTTCAGGGTTCAGGGTTTCGGGGTTGGGGTGATGAAGGCTTAGGGTTTAGGGTGTAGGATTTAGGGTTTAGGGTTACTACACTACTCTACGGCTTGGGGTCTGGGGTTGGGGGTGCCTGGATTTATGGACATCGCCGGCTGGGGTTGCGGGGCTTGATATGCCCGTTAATGTAGTGCTACGGCCCCTTCAATACGGTTTAGTGTAAAGTCTTCGATCAATAAGGGCATCCCGAAGCAGGCTCGAAAGAGCTTCATCGCCCTCTCCACGACAGTGCTGGCCTGCAGCGGCGCCTCCAAATGGGAGGTGGGCTTAGGGTTTGCTTCTTGGGGGGCTTAAGGACACTGAAGGTTTCGTGTTCGGGGTTTACAAGGTGCTTCCACTATGATTCCCTTCATACCTACTGCGAATGTTTGCGGGCAGTTGTAGGAAGGGATGGAGGGCTGTAAGCAGGCTTCAGCAACTGGATTGCAAAGATGGTACTTTTGATAACCAGGCAAGTAGTTCCATCGGTTGCCAGCTAGGCGGGCAGCAGGCATGGACGCCCGCGTTACAGCAGAATTCGGGCGGGCCATGAGGCGCTCAGCTGATGCACTTGTTCTCCACATAGGGGTGGGTTGTTCTGAATTAGCTAGGTTCTGCTCAGAACTGCTGCCCTTGCAAGGAAGGACCCCTACCATAAAGGACAAATTTGCACCTCCTCACGTGGTTCAACACCATGTTCCGACAGGCAGTTCTGCTTCTGCTGAAGCATCGACCATTGCTGGATGCTGTCACATGCACAGCTGCAGTGACGGCACCTTGCCTGACAGGGTTTAGGGCTTAGGGTTTAGGGTTTAGGGTTTAGGGTTTAGGGTTACCTCCACATGTTTCTCCTACTCGGCTGCTTGCAGAAGCCAGGCAAGCTGCATGATGTGCACTCGCGAAGCTTTTTGTAAGTCTGGATGCCTTGCACAGAACTGAGGGACATCGAGCCGCTTTTTCCGAGGCTTGCCGTGACGGCAGCAGCTGGCTGCATGCGCTTGGCAGCTTGTCTTCGAGATTTTTGGGGTGGACAAAAGGTAGCCTTCTGCCCGGGGTGCAGGCATCAGGGAGCACAGGTTGGCTTCCTGAGAGCAACGGCTAGCAAATGCTGGGGCAGTTCCCCCCACCACCCTCCAAACCCCACCCGTCAAAACCCCCAAAACCCAAACATTTGCAAGTCTTCGAATACCTTCCTTCGTGTGTTAACACTCATACCAATGCCCGGGGATGACACGCATAAGGGCGTTTACGAAAATAGGGCCCTTACAATAAGGACCCCAATAAGGTACCCCTAAACCCTAAACCCTAAACCCCCTAATTTCGGAGACTCATAAAGCTCTTGCCCAGCGACCTAAGGCTTTCTTCAAGATGCTTGGAACTCGGGGGAGCGCTGCGAAGGCGAAGGCTCCACATAGGGTTTAGGGTTTAGGGTTGATAGAAATTGTATAGGGTTTGGGTCCCAATAAGTTTTTTGACCGAAACATTTTGAGCGAAAGTTTTTGTTTTTTGGAACTATGGGTCATTTTTTTTGGCGGGGGGGCAGGGAGGGAAGGGGGAAGGGAGGTGGGAGGTGGGGGAAGGGGGGGGGTGGGGGGGGAGGGAGGGGGTGGGGAGGGGGGAGCCAGAGGTTTAAGTAAATTGAGTATTTGGCCTCAGCTGTTTAGACAAATAACTTGGAAATTCAGAATGAGATCACATACAATTTCTATTTATTTTGTCTTGAGGGTTTAGGGTTTAGGGTTCAGGGTTCAGGGTTTAGGGTTTAGGGTTTAGGGTGCCTTCATGAGGACCCTACCCGAAACCCCAAGAAGCACAAAACCTTGAATGGGGTTTTGGGCGTAAGGGTTGTGGGTTAAGGCTTCTCTCATGGAGACCCTGCCCCGCCTCCTAAATCCATTTTGGGCTTCGGATGGTTTAGGGTTTAGGGTTTAGGGTTTAGGGTTTAGGGTTTAGGGTTTAGGGTTTAGGGTTTAGGGTTTAGGGTTTAGGGTTTAGGGTTTAGGGTTTAGGGTTTAGGGGTTAGGGTAAGAACTAAGAATTGCTGTACCCACAGTGGCATGGGAGTACGAACTGCCACAATGTTTTTAGAAGCGTGTGCTTGATATAGGTCTCGTAGAGCCTGCAAGTACCTTTTTTGGACAATCCGAGTTACCCCAAAAGCCCTCTCCTGCCCTGCTTGGGCCTCTACCAAAAAAACCCTAAACCCTAAACCCTAATCCTTCCTTCCACTCCACAGGGTCCAGCTTTCCTCTGCCCAGCTTGACCTCGGCGAACGCATGCCTCAGCGCGCTGGAGCGTGCGAGTGGCTTGGTACCAGAGCCAGGAAATTCGGGTTTAGGGTTTAGGGTTTAGGGTCATACAATTTCTATTTGTTTTGTCTTGAGGGTTTAGAGTTCGGGTTTGCCCAGCTATCCAAGACTCTCGAGAATCAGGCGGAGGACCGACCGACATCAGTCAGACCGGGACTCCCGAAAGTTGCTGTTTTGGTAAACCCTAAGCCCTACGTCCTGAATCCTAAACCCTAAACCCTAAACCCTAGTTGGACTTGCAGGCAACTGGCAACTTGCATCCTGGCTGCTTTTCGAGTTTCCTCGGAAGGGCCTACAAGCAGATGAGGCCGGTACTTGCAGCTCGTGTGGGGTCACTGGGGATGAGGGGTTTTGACCTGAACTCTGGTTTTTTTCTTCTTAGCAGCACAACAGCACTGTTCAGGGGTTTGCGTGAAAGCACGCAGAGCCAGATTTCAGCAAACCAGGCGAATCCGGAGACCCGGCGATTCAGGAAACTGCTCGAATCAGGACACTGCCTTGATTCAGGAAATTGCGATTCAGGAAACCACACGATTGAGGAACTAGGGGGGTGAGGGGCGGGGGCTGGGGTGGATGAAATCAGCTGCCGAGCCTGCTTTGAGTTTCCCGAGGCAGCGGTTTCAGAATCTGCGCTTTCCCGTTTCCCGAAAATTGGCGGTTTCCGAGTCGGCGCGTTCGAGTTTCCTGAATGAGCGGTTTTCATCCGCGGTTTCCAGCTTCCCGAATCCCTGGTTTCCGATCCGCGTTTTCCAGTTTCAAGTTTCTTGAATCAGCGGATTTCCCGAATCCTGATTTCCCGAACCCGTGCTTTGGGTTTCCGAACCTGCGCTTTCCAGTTTCCGGAATCAGGGCTTTCCAGTTTCCGAATCCGCGCGTTTTCAGTTTCCGAATCCACCGCTGACCCTTTTGCTCAGTGTTTAGCGTCTAGGGCCGAGGGAGGGTGCTTGCAGGGTGCGGTGTTTAGGTTTAGGAGCTGTGGGTTTAAGGCTCACTGTTTTGGGCTTTTGGATTGTGGTTTAAGAGCTCCTCTTTTTATGATCAAAGCGCAAAGACTGTTTGGCAGCTCATGCCGCGACCCGAAACCCACGTGCACCATGAATCCCTGAAGAATCCTAAACTCCTACCCTAAACCGACCCTGAACCCTAAACCCTAAACCCTGTCTTATCTCCTCCTCAGCTTGATAGAAAGGTCCGCAGTGCAAGGCTGACCTGGGGGATTCATGAGCAGTTGCTGTGGTGGGACTGAGTATGCAAACCTTACTGGGGTTCATAGAAGCCCCTTCTGACAGCTACCCATATGAAGCTTAAGTGGAGGCAGACGAACGCTACTAAGAATCTTGGCTCACCAGAACACTGCCTGCAGGTCTCTTTCAACACGGTGATGTCTGCTTGCGTTGGGCGTCTCAAGTGGCGGCAAGCACTGGCCCTCTTTGACCTCATGCTGACCAAGCTCCTGCCAAGAGATGCTGCACCTGAATCAGAATTGCTAGGGTTTAGGGTTGAGGGTTTAGGGTTTATAGAAATTGTATAGGGTTTGTGTCCGGGTTTTGACCGAGTTTTGACCGGTTTTTACGGGGTTTTGACGGGGTTTTGACCGGTTTTTTCTTTTGCTTTTGAACAAAAGTGCCAGGCTTGGGGGAGGTGGGGGGGGGCTGACGGGGTTTTGACCGGTTTTTTCTTTTGCTTTTGAACAAAAGTGCCAGGCTTGCGGGGGCTTGGAGGGGCTGCCAAGGGCTGGCGGGCTGAGGGGGGCTGGTTTGGGGGCTGGCTAGGGGCTGGAGGGAGGGTGGAAGGGTGGGGCAAGGGGCTGGGGGGGGCGGGGCAGGAGTGCGCTGGGGGCTGGGCTGTGGGGCTGTTGGGGGGGCGTTGGGCAAGTGGGCTGGGGGTGGGGGCCTGCTGGTGTTTGGAAGGGTTGTGGGGGGTTCGGGCCGTTCAGGGTTTTTTGGTGCCCTGAAAGCCGGGCTTTTGGCTAAAATTTTTGCACTGTGCAGGATTATTGCACGAGCTGCTCGGAATGAAGCACCTACAATTTCTATTTATCCTGGCCTTGAGGGTTTAGGGTTTAGGCTTTAGGGTTTAGCCCGGTAGATAAAAAAACGCTACACTGACGGGGTACTGGACACGTTACCCAGCTGGCAGCCGGCAAGGAAGTAAACACGAAGCAGAAACTTGCCCACAGCTGTTTCAACCACCCTCCAACGCTTGAGAATGCTTGAAGCCCTAAACCCATGATCCAGGTATCGTGGAGCTCCTGCATCACTGCATGCGCACAGGGTCAGAACGCAGATGCGGCTCTTCAGCTCTACGACGAGTGGCTATCTCAGTTGTTCCCAACACACAGGCGATGGAAGGGATAGATATACTGCGGTCGAACCTTGACGGGTTTTTGGGCTGGCTTAGAAGCCCTAAGCCCTAGACCACACCGCCAGCTGCTCAGGTATTCACAAGGGGTGGCCCAGCCCAACACGGCGGCTCGGCGCAAGAATTGCCCTGAAGCACTGACCTCAGCCGCAAGGATACCAAGCGCACAATGCGCGGGTTGGTTGTGGAAGAGAGTAGAACAGCAATAGTTCCAAGAAATAGCAAGAGTAACGAAAATAGTCACACTAACAATTGTGAAAACAAGGAGAATAATAGTCATTAGAGTCATCGTAGTAGAACTGATATTGACAAGGTCCTCATAATCACATTCTTAGTCATTTTCGTAACAACAAAGTTACGTAAGCCCTGAACCCTGAACCCTGAACCCTGAACCCTAAACCCTAAACCCTAAACCCTAAACCCTTCGGCCCAAGCTCAGGTCGTCGTGAATGCCGCAATGGCAGCCTGTGGTGCCAGCCGCGCCTGGCAGCGGGCAGTTGCCCTGACCCAGTTGTTGCAACGGACCTGGCAGGCATGGTTTAGGGTTGAGGGTTTAGGGGATTTAGGGTTTAGGGTTTAGGGTTTAGGGTTTAGGGTTTAGGGTTTAGGGTTTAGGGTTTAGGGTTTAGGGGAAATAGGGCTTAGGGCTTAGGGCTTCGGGAGTCCGGGGTTGGGGTATGATGAGAGTGATCTTGCTGATTCAGTACTTAGCCTCTGCATCGCAGCAGACTGAGCTGAGGGGCCTCTGTGTGTGTGTGTAGACTTTTTGGAAGTTCTCACATAGGGTAAACCCTAAACCCTAAACCCTTAACCCTGAACCCTAAACCCTAAACCCTAAACCCTAAACCCTAAACCCTAAACCTTAGGGTTTCGGGTTTATGGTCGACTTTGCAAGCAGGCCACCGGCCAGACTTCAGATGCCGTCACCTTCAACACGACGATCGCAGCCTGCGCAGCAGCGCAGGCAACCCGGTGCTGCTGATGAGGGTTTAGGGCTTCGGGTTTCGGGTTTAGGGTGCAGGGTTTAGGGTTTAGGGTTCAGGGTTCCGGGTTCAGGGTTCAGGGTTCAGGGTTCAGGGTTCAGGGTTCAGGGTTTAGGGTTTAGGGTTTAGGGTTTAGGGTTTAGGATGATTGTGGTAGCTATGGTTATTCTTAGAAGGAGTATTATGATGATTGTTATGATTGCGGTTATTAAACATTAAGATTACGAAGATGATGAACGTGGCAGGTTGCTGCAAATACTGTAACGATTCTCGCTAGATTCGTTTTGATGAAGAAAACCTGAAGCTGGGCTATCGTGCAGGGGGATTCACGCAGCATCACCCGAGCTGGGGACGCAGCACACACCCGGATGCGAGCAGCGTTTATGAGGTTAGAGTCCAGGGTCTTCCCGAACGCAAGAGTCTCATTGAATGCCAGGTGTTTTTGGGCAAAGCTCCGGCTGCCCCAATGACCCGAGCCTACATATCCAGGCTCCCAAAGCCCGAAACCCTAGCGAAACCCTGAACCATGCCCTAAACCCTTAAACCCTAAACCTTAAACCCTAAACCCTAAACCCTAAGCTGCCAGGCGTGGGAAATGGCCCTTCACTTCTTCCATGCCATGGCTGACCTGCACTGTGTGGTCGACGCGGCTGCGATTGGTGCTGCCTTGGGCGCCTGCTCCGGGGGGCGCTGGAAGGACCCAGAGCTGCTCGTTGAGGGTTTAGGGTTCAGGGTTTAGGGTGTAGGGTTTAGGGTTCAGGGTTCAGGGTTTAGGGAATCTAAGCTTAGTCTTAGGGACATGGACCATTAACCTAACACGATTTGCCCTTTCAGTTTCAGAACCTCCTGGTCAAGACTCTCTCCATTCCCGCAGGTTGAAGGGCTCGGGTTTTAAGGTTCAGGGAAGAAAGGAAGGAGAACAGTGGTCAATGAGTAGCTGTAGCTGTGCTAAGATGGGTTCAAGCCTTATTTGGCCTACATACAACCCCAGCCTTTAAAGTTTGAGTAGGTACTTCGGCGGAGGCCGTTGCATCCAAGCATGCACTCGGAACCCGGCACGAATCCTTCAAACCCCAAGCCCTTGCTGAGCCTTTTTTGGGGGGATTCCTTCTGCCAACCCCTAAACCCTAAACCCTGAACCCTAAACCCTAAACCCTAAACCTTAAACCAGGAGGCGCAGCAGATCGCCGCAGATCTCCAGAGCCGTGGCGTCCGACTGTCGTCGGCCCTCGAGCAAGCCCTCCTGAGATCCTACGCGAGCGCTGGCTTGCCTGTGGCTTCGAAACACTTCTGTGTGTGTGCTTGTGCATCATCCTAGGTAGGATGAGGGAGACCCACTAAACGGGACCCTTCTGAACCCTACTTCTGGGCCTCTTAACAGGGACCTTGTTGAGGGGGGCTAAATCCCCAAAGGCCCCCCCAATCTTAACTCCTGTAAAAGATCAACCCTGACGGGGGAGGATGGAGTCTTCTGCGGACAGGGGAACAGAAGGATAGAAAATGAAGTTCCCCATTTATTTACATCCCTATCGTATGTTTATTCTTCATACTGGCCCTTCAAATTCCGGCATGAAATGTCGACATATTCTCTCATTACTCTACTACGATGTATCAAGCTCGCAATTCAGTTAAAAGAAGTGTATGAGTTTGCCTTTGTAAGACCGATATTGATTTAGTGTATAGATGAGATGGGTGAGTAGATACTTCATGATCTATGGTCTAGATCTTTATTTTATTATTGAGATTTCTATTCTACAGTTATTTAACAATTATTTATATTTCTGAAATCCGCCCTCGCACTAAGATCTAAATATGGATTCTTTCGTCGAAGGTCTCTGCACCGAGCGCGTAAGATTTCGATATATCTTGATACTTTCCGGTTGCGAAGCCATGAATTATTTCAACTCCACCTATACTTGACGTAAAATCTAGTCGGTCTTCAACTCGTTGTGTTTGGGCGTTGTGGGTCTGGCATTATTAATTTGTGAGTAAGCTCTAATCTTATTCTAATATTGTAGATGGCCATACGTTTAGCAATTAATGAATATTCCCTCGTAATTGAAAAACATTAATTGACGAGTCGAGGAGGTTCAAGGCAGCCTTGATTATGGATTCAATAGCACGAGAGTAAGGCTTAATGACTGTCATAATATGAATATCACGAAGACGCGCACTACGAAAGTGGCTAACGCTTAGGGCGGAGACTAAGAAGAATGGGATATTCCCTCAATACATTTGTCATATGAAATACGAAGGAAAATCTTGTTCCTGCAGGCGCTAGGATTAAAAATCTTCGGAATGAGGCCTCAGAAACGACATCTGATGAGAGATATCTATTAAAGGACAAAAAATTGAAATCCTCAAGAGATTTCTGCTCGAGATTAAAATGACGGACAAAGGAATGGGATCTCCGTGTCTTAATTAACCAGCAACAACCAGCCAACAACAACCAACCAACCACAACCAAGAATAGCCAACATCAACCAACAACAGAACAGCCCACAACAACAGCGACAACAACAACAACAACAACAACAACAACAACAACAACAACAACAACAACAACAACAACAACAACAACAACAACAACAACACCGACTGCAACAACACCAACAACAGCAGGGACATCAACAACACCAACAACACCACCAACGCCAATATCAACACGCAGCGCCAGCGCCACAGCCCAAACAGCTACCGCGATCGGAACGCAGTATTCCCACGAGCACTCATCACACGCCCTCCTTAGAGGACGTGGGCCGCGACGTCAATCTCGAGGTCGCAGTGACCGACGCTCCCATGTTCGCCCGAGACCTCGTCGACGGGCTTGGAGCGCCACGTCTGTCACCTTCCTTTCCTTTTGGGCTTATAGGGGTAGTCCTAGTCATCGCCCAGGGACTGGAGCGAGTGTATGCATCGTCCTAGGCCCTAGGCATCGCCCAGATATTGGAGCGATTGTGTGCATCTGGAGCGAGTGTGTCAGTAATAGCGACACCTGAGGCCGGCCGGAGTGGAGGGCAGCATCTTTTGCTTGATGCTGTCCCCCAGTCGGAGGCGATCTGGGAGCACCTGGGCTTTGAGGAGGTCCACGGACGCGTCCAGCCGGCGTCTGCAGGAAAGCGATATTCCAGGCAGGTGAAGGCTGGGCAGGATTCAGAGACGCTTGAACCTTTCTGTTTCTTTCTTTCTCTCTCTCTCTCTCTCTCTCTCTCTCTCTCTTTCTCTCTCTCTCTCTCTCTCTCTCTCTCTCCTCTCCCTTCACTCCCTTTCGCTCTTTCTTCTTCTCTCTCTCTCTCTCTCTCTCTCTCTCTCTCTCTCTCTCTCTCTCTCTCTTTCTCTCTCTCTCTCTCTCTCTCTCTCTCTCTCTCTCTCTCTCTCCTTTTCTTTCTCTTTTTCTCTTTTTATCTCTCTTTCTCTTTCTCTTTCATGGTATTTTTCTCTTCTTCTCTTCTTCTCTTCTCCTCTTCTCCTGTTCTCCTCTTCTCCTCTTCTCCTCTTCTCCTCTTCTCCTCTTCTCCTCTTCTCCTCTTCTCCTCTTCTCCTCTTCTCCTCTTCTCCTCTTCTCCTCTTCTCCTCTTCTCCTCTTCTCCTCTTCTCCTCTTCTCCTCTTCTCCTCTTCTCCTCTTCCCCTCTTCCCCTCTTCTCCTCTTCTCCCCTTCTCCCCTTCTCCCCTTCTCCCCTTCTCCCCTTCTCCCCTTCTCCCCTTCTCCCCTTCTCCCCTTCTCCCCTTCTCCCCTTCTCCCCTTCTCCCCTTCTCCTCTTCTCCTCTTCTCCTCTTCTCCTCTTCTCCTCTTCTCCTCTTCTCCTCTTCTCCTCTTCCTCC